TATTTTGGATGTTTTATTTTTCTTATAATTTATAGAAATTGAACGAAACAATCCTTAACATAACCGTGCCGGGTGGGTGGCGGCCAGCACAGAAGGAGGACCCAGGGGCAAAACCGTAGTTATAAACTCACCCAGAGGATAAAACGGGCCGGGTCGAGGGAAAGCAGCCAAACGGATTTGACCACGGCCTCTGACGGTAAAAGCGAGCCTCTGCCAAAACCCGTACCCAAAAAGGATCTGTCATATTATCCCTCCCACCACCAAACAAATCCTTATTTCCAATCCCACCCTTATCCTATCCATTAATAATTATCCAAACTATAATAATTAATCATACATTTCTTCACACTATTTTATCGTACAATTTATTTATTTAAACAAATTTATAATTGTTTAGAATTTATATTGTTATGCAAGGCAATTCATTATTTTGCATCCAAAATAAAAATAAAAAACATAAAACAAAATAAATATGCTCTCGTGCAAAGCACGTGCACTATACTAGTTCTATTAAATGTAGATGTATGTATTGCACGCATAACTTCTCTCCATTTTAACTCAATTACTTTTTCTATTAAGATAAAATAAAAATTTTACATTGAATATTTTAAAATAAAAAAATTCCCACGGCATGACACGGGTATAACACTAGTAAATACTCTAAAAGAGTTGTAATTTTATAGATAAATAGTTTCAAAATATTGCATTTTTGTATCCTCTTGTTTAACCAATGTTGCATATACATATCATTAGTTTGTAAATAGTTTCACTTAAATAGCTTAAAGTTTCTAAATATTGCACTTTAGTACCCTCCATTATGTAATATTCTTGGATAGATAAAGAAGTTAATATCATCTGAATATTTTTACTTTGGAGCATCTATCCGCAACATTTAAAATCATTGAGGCATTTATTTGCTCGGTTTTAAAGTAAGAATTACTTAAGTGCAAGGATGATGAAACTATAGGGCATTTTAAGTGTAATTGAGGGGTGGAGTGATTTTGTGTTTTGCAGGAAAGGACTTGGGAAATGGGGGAGTTATTGTGAGGAAATTAATTGTGATTATGAGGGTGGTACTGTAACCATCGTTTATTGTTATATCACGGTGCTTTATGAAAGGAGGAGATGACGTTGTGATTTTTGTGCTTGGGTCACATTTGGGTTATCTTATGAAAGAGTTTGTCATGGGGAGGATGAGTAGCAGTAGAAAGGGAAGGGAGAACTAATCCTTACTCTACCCTGTTATTTTTAAGCGAGGTAATATTAAATAGCTAGTAAATATCAACACAAACAATTAAATACTAACTAACATGGTCAAAATATTTTCAGTATAATCACCAACCTTAGCCTCAAAATCTATGTTTCAACATTATACTTCTTTACACTGCTTTATAGAAAACTTAGTGATAGTAGATAAAAGTGGGTCAATGTGGGAAAATTCCTCCAACCATTGTTTGCTTCTCAGGAAAATTATTGGTTTCTCTGGGGAAATTTGGAAATTTCAAATGATGTATCTTTGTCCATATTTTTCTCTCATTGAGAACACACATAGGGGGTGGAAATGAACCAAATAATTAACAAATAGTTTGTTAATTGTTCGAGTAACTATTCGATCATATATGATTCGGTAATTCATTTAATAGTAAATAAATAATATTTAGCATTTGAGTTTATTATTGAACGGAATTTAAGCAAATGTATATTCGATTTGTTTATTTATTAAATATTCATTTAAAATTTGATCAACTATAATTTGTACTATTACTCATATGATGTTATATTTTTAACCCACTTATATTTTAATACTAATTTTGAGAGACTAAAAGAATCTTAAAGCAATTTTCTAATAAAATATTTAGATTTAAATTTATATACATCATAACTATAAACAAATAATTTTTCTTTATAAATTTAAATATTAATAAAATTATTAAGCAAAATGAATATACTTTGACGTTCGATAAATATTCGTGAATATTCATTAATATTCATCAAATATCGAGTATTCGAGTTCAAATTCGAAACTCCAAACACGAATATTCGAGTTCGGGTTCGAAATCGATAATTTTAAACAAATACAAATAACAACATTTTAGTATCATTGATTCGATTCGGTTCGTTTACAACCCCTACTCTCTCTATATATATATATATATATATATATTATATATATATATTATATATATATATATATATATATAGAGAGAGAGAGAGAGCAAGACTCTATCAACTTAAGTTGATGTCCACCAAAGTTTATAGCCACACATTTATTAATATAAAACACTTTTTATATAATAAAATGTTCCCTAGGCAATATGAGTGTTTAAAAACATTGTGGACACACTATTTCCTATCCACTTAAGTTGACACAAATTTTAAATTTTCATATATATATATATATATATATATATATATATATATATATAATATATATATATATATATATATATATATAAGAGAGAGAGAGAGAGAGAAACATTATGTCCAACTTAAATGGACCATCCACCAAAGTTTCTATCCATTGATGATACCTAGAGATCCGTGCATCATATGAAGAGATTTTTTCATGCAATAGATAGAAACTTGGTGGATGGTCCACATACGTCTAGCGTGCTTTGGTCGAGCTGCCGGAGCGTCCCCCGGATGAACCTAGAGGGCTGAGCTCAGATGCCACGGGAGGCGTGGCTTATTGACGAAGGTGTGAGTTCGATGGCAGAGGAGAGATAGACGGCGCTGGATAAAAACCGGCGGCGCGCTGGCAGCTGCGGTGATCTCGGGCGCTGGATGAGGATGGCAGGGAGTATGGCTAGGGCAAGGGGACGAACGGCGACGCCTGAAGGGGACCTCGCGAGGGCTTGGCCGAGATTGGGCTCGCGGCGCTTTCGGCGTGCTGAGGAGCGAGGGGCGCGGTGATGGCGCGATGCTGAGCAGGGAAAGAGAAGAAGCGGTAGGGATTTTGGGGAAGGGTATTTCAGCCGAGGGCTCAGATCTCTTTTATTGGGTTTATAATAACACCGCCCAGATCGCGGCGAGTCCTCAGAGCCGGCCATACGGAGTCACCGCCCAGATTCACTTTTTCCATAATATATATATATATATATATATAATATATATATATATATATATATATATATATTATATGAGAGAAATGAGAACCGTCGCGCTACCAATTGTTTAAAGCAACTTGGCTAGTTCATGTGGCCTAATCTTGCCCCTCACATCACACTCGAAGATAGAGCCTCAACCACCCTTCACCAACTCCCAAATATAATAGTAGGACAAGATTGTAGCAATCCTACCAAGTTCTGATCAATTTGGTAACCAAGTTTCTCCTTTTCTCTCTCTCTCTCTCATCTATATATATATTATATATATATATATATATATATATAATATATATATATATATATATATATGCAGAAAAATTGGGTATGCTTGGCTAACATCCACAAAAAGCGAATCTCTCAGGGAGGATGCGGCTTGGTATGCAGGTACATAATCCCCATCCACTTATTCAAATGGTTGCATATCCTCATGCCACTCCTCACCATCATGAAGTGGTCCTCCCATTTTGAATGAGTGGAGGGGATTGTGCCACTCACTACAAGCCACAAATTTGTGCTTGGGTTACCAAGGGCATACCCTTATTTCTATATATATATATATATATATATATATATATATATATATATATAACAAAATATAAATTTCCAATCAAACTATAAATAAGATATTTTTTATAATAAATTTTAAATAAGGTCTTGAATATTGGAGATTGTAAAAGTAGCAAAATTCATATATATATATATATATATAACAAAATATAAATTTCCAATCAAACTATAAATAAGATATTTTTTATAATAAATTTTAAATAAGGTCTTGAATATTGGAGATTGTAAAAGTAGCAAAATTCATAAATCTAAAACAATAAAAAACATGTCTATTAATGCTAATTTTGAAAGATCGAGTTCAATTTTGCAAGAGTTCTATAAAACTGACTTGATTTTTTTTTTTTTTTTGCATCCGGGCCCATGATAACTAAAAAGATATAGATAAGAGAAATAAAGATACAAAACTATAGTAGCAAAAAGGATTCAAATAGGTTCTTATATAAATAAAAAACATTTCTTATCAATATTTAGATCAATGAATAAATCGAAATTTATATGAAAATGACAGTGTGTTAAAGTTTATCTACATCCATCGCTTTAATAAAATGATTTTTTTTTGAAAATGGTTTGTATTAAATTTCGAAATTGATATTTTTTTAAAATGATTTGTATTAAATTTTTGATTCACGTACAGTTTAGCTAGCTAGCTTTCTAGGGAGGATGTATTATGAGAAATTTTTCATGTGACCTTATGTTTTGGTCACAAATTTAGTTGGGGGTGCGGGCAATCGAACCCCGTGCCTCTCGCATGCGCAGCACAAGCGCTCTACCATATGAGCTACACCCCGATTTACGATCATGTTGCTTAGCAACTTTTCGATAGATCGTTACAACCAACCACCTTGTCCGTAACGAAAATTTAGATATGAAATTTAAATTTTTTTGAGGATTTTCATTTATGGGTTTAGCAAGGATTTCGACCAATAACTTAAGAAGATTACATTGATAGAGTTTGACAGTGGATGCACAACATTATTTGCTTTAATGGATTCTTTCCTAAGGAGAAGTGTGCTATGCGAGCGTGGGGTTCTTTTTTGTCTTTTTTTTTTTCAATTCTAATGCCCAATCGCTAAATTTATCAAATTTTAATAGCACTGGGGGAAAGAAGGATTTGCCATGGAAATCATATCGCCATCAAAGTTCAATAGAACCGAGGAACAAAGGGTGATGATTGGATTCTCATGAAAACCATATCGCATGCTATGTCCAATATCAACGAAACTGACATGAGGAGATTCAGGTGGAATTCTAATGACAATCGCAAAATTCA